AGGCTTTCTACTCCTGTAAAGATTTGCTGCTGCAGAAACCCCCAGTAGCAATTCGGCTTTGCCTTATAGGGTTGCTGTGAGTCAGAATTGGTTGGTTTGGTTTTGATTTGGCCGGGCATATTCTCCCCTTTGATTTTATGTCTTTTTCCCAATGGGAGGTTGCTCCCCCTGGTTTACTCACCAACATTCGTGTGATCACCTTCTCTGAGACATGCATGCCCTCCCCACTCCCCCATCTTGACCTGAATGTCCAGTAAGGCTCACTCATCACTCTTCTAGGAGCGTCTGTTGGAGTGACCTTAGCACAGTGTTGTATGGTAGCAACAGAATGACCTCTCACTTCTCCAACCTTGAAAAACTGGCTCCAGCTGAGATGACGTCTCCTCTGTTGAAGTGGTTTTTATTCACTCTTCTGCATTCATTCCCTAGCTTTTGCACACACGCAATGCAATTGAAAACACCATGCTTGGTCAGGCCCACCTTAGTACTCAAAGTGTCATCTTTGTTACCAACCTAGGTCTTGCTCAGCGTAGCAGAGAAACAAACACAGAAACTGGATGAAAATGAATGGCAAACGCTTTAATTTGGCTGATCAAGCAACGGGCAAACAGGGACTGCAGTTCACCACAAGGTCAGCAGTTTGAAACCACTAGCCACTCCTCTGGAGAAATTAGTGGCTTTCTTTTTCTTAAATCCTTTTATTGGAGCTCTTTCAGATATCATAATATTCCATAGTTCCATCACCTCAGGCAGTATTGTACAATTGCTACCACAATCAGTTTTAAAACATTTTCTTTCATCTTGAACGTCTTAATATTAGCTCCCTCTATCCCCTCCTACACCCACCTCCGAAGAACCCTTATATTTTTGCCATATCTTATAATCCAATATAGCCATTCACATACAAGTCTGTTGTTTGAACCCATCAAGGGGGGTTATACAGTCATCAGTGCTATCATCTCCCTATTCTCCCATCCCCCCTCAGGGAACCGTTACTCCTGTTAATGTTTCCGAAGAGTTATTTATCTTGGCTTTCATGTATCCAATGGTCTTTAATATACAAGTTAACCTATGCAAATCTAATGTGATTAATGAGGTAAAACAAAAAACATAATAGTAAGGGGAGGAAATATTAAAGAACTAGAGGATAGTTATGAAGTTCATCAGTGCCATGCCACACCCTGGATTTATCATACTTTCTCTGTGGCCCTTCTGAGAGGGACTGTCCAATGATCTTACAGGTAGGTTTGTGGTCTCCACTATATTCATGCCCAGAAGTGGCTTTCTACTCCCATAAAGTTACAGTCTCAGAAACCCACAGGGGCAGTTCTACCCTGTTCAGTAGGGTCACATGAGTGGGAATTGGCTTGATGGCAGTGAATTTTTGAGAAGTTTGCAGAATGCTATGATTACAGAGAAAGCCCCAAATCCATTCAATCTCCAATGAATTCTTCCTGATCATTAACCAGCAACAAGAATAGCTTAACCTTCAAGCTGAGAATGTTTGAAAGTGGACTACTATCAGTCCCCTAATCAGACCAGGGAGATGCAGTTTCTCTTACAGGGATTTGCGTGGGTACGTCCTTCACAGAAACTGGAGTGCTAGGGTCACATGGTCATGACCAGCTTGGTCCAAGGGCACTGAATCAATCTTTGAAGCTCTTTGGTCTAGTACCATGTCTGTCTCCCAATCCTGGTCCCATTCCTGCTTCTGAAGTCCTGCCTATAACTGTGAAGTACTCAACTGCAGCCAATCATGCTGCTATGAGTCTCCCTTGTACAATTGTGTCCTATTTAAATGACCAGTCTTCTATAAATCCTTGAAGGCCATTCTGGTCTCCTTCGTCTAAGACGAATTGCCTTTGGCTATGTCTGTCTTGTCTTTGTCTTGTTAAGACTTTTAAGTGTCTCTACACATTACACTTGGATTTGAGATCTCTTTTGTCCCTTACAACAGCACTTTAATATGACAACAGTAGGAAGTAAACTGAGAGGATTATGTATATGTTAAAGATTCCTGAGGAATAGTCATGAATCTATATTAAGGTGGGTTATTATTCTTGACCAGAAAATGGTTATCTGACCTCCTTTCAAATGTCATCTGCGTTGGTCTGGTGACATCTTTCCCTGCACTTTTGGTTCCTTTACCAAAGTTTGTTTCATCCTGGGATGATCCAAAGATTGTGATGATCCTTTCTGTGCTTGTTTGTTGGGCCAAATTTGAACATAACAAATACTCATTTACTGTGATAGGATACTTTCCTGGGAGAAAAGGGCTCAATAGAGACAGGTTATCGGGAAGAGAATCACAGGTAAATTATGGGAGATATATATCCCATAACATGACAGCATCGCTTTTATCCTAAGGGTAGGTTCATTAGCAAAGCTATAAAATTCTCAGAATGACACAGGGTTAAGCAGTTGGAAAGGGATCTGAACTTTAAAGAGGTCTTTTGGAGTGTATTTGTCCAGTGTAATGTCGCATTTGGTTTCTTGAATGTTGCTTCCATGGGCATTGTGGATCCAAATAACTTCAATGTTTTCTTCATTTTTCTTTTTTTTGCCAACCCCTGCCCTTGCCTCCCACCCTGTTTTCTTCATTTTTCATGTTGCTGCTGATTGGTCCTGTTGTGCAAATTTTTGAAAATTTATATAAAAATCATACTGAAGATTATAGCATTTGATTGTTATCATTGTTTCAAGACTTATTCACTTAATTTTTTGGTGACTAGATTTATAATACACATTCCAAAGAAAGATAAGCCAACAGCATAATCAAACTATAGAAAAATATCATTGATAGCACATGCAAGTAAAATTTTATTGAAGCGCGTCCAACAACATTTGGAGCAGTACGTCAACAGGGACCTGTCAGAGAGTTAGGCCCGATTCAGAAGAGGACGTGTAACAAGGGATATCATTGCTGATGTCCGGTGAATCTTGACTCCAAGACAGAATATCATAAAGGTGTGTACTAGTGTTAGATTGATTATGTCAAGCAATTAGACTGCGTGGTCAGAACAAACAATGGGTAACTTTCAGAAGAATGGAGATTCCAGAATATTTCACTGTGCTCATGCAGAACTTATACATGGACCAAGGGGCAGTTGTGCTAACAGAACAAGGGAATACTGCATAGTTCAAAATCAGGAAAGGTGTATGTCAGGGTTGTATCCTCTCACCAATCTGTGTGCTGAGCAAATCATCGGAGAAGCAATCAGTGCTTGTGGAAGCAGCAGTCAAGAGGTCAAAAGATGCTTTGCATTAGGAAAATCTACTGCATAAGACCTCTTTAGAGTACTGAAAAGACAGGATGTACCCTTTGAGGACTCAGGTGTGCCTGACCCATGCCAGGAATGTTTCCATTTCCTCGTGTGCATGTGAAAGTTGGACATTGAGTAAGGAAGACTGAAGAGGAATCGATGCATGTGAATTGTGCTGGAGAAAAATATTGAAAGTACCATGGACCTGAAGAAGAACTGATACATTTGAATTATGGTGCTGGAGAAGAATATTAAAAGTACCATGGACTGCCAAAATTACAAACCGATCTATCTTGGAGGAAGTATGGCTAGAGTTCTCCTTAGAGGCAAGGATAGCAAGGCTTCATCTTACATTACTTTGGACAGATTATCAGGAGAGACCAGTCTTGGGGAAGGACATCATGCTTGGTAAAGTGAAGGGGCGGTGACAAAGAGGAAGGACCTCAACGAGATGGATGGACACAGTGGCTGCAACAGTGGGCTCCGGCGGCATAGGAACAAGGCAAGGATGGCACCAGACCGGGCAGTGTGTAGTTCTGTTGGGCACAGGGTCAGTGTGGTTCAGAATCAACGTGATGGCACTTAACAACATAACAAAAACAGATTGACAGAACCAAAAAAACAAACAAATGAGTTGAAGCCAACCCTTCGAGACCCGGTAGGACCGAGTAGCACTGTTCCTTTGGGTTTCCTAGACTGCAAATCTTTACAGGAGCAAATAGCCTCATCTTTTTCCCTTGGAGCAAGAGGTAGATTCACACGGCTGACTGTGGTAACCAGCTCAAAATGTAGCCCACTCCTTGATTCATGGTACAAATTTAAGAAAAAGTACAGGTAGTCCCCAGCTCACCACACAGTGGTTTTATGACAAACTGCACTTAGGAGTCTTATTATTATTTGTAATTATTGTTAGCAATATGTGCTCCATACAATGCTGCGACACAGCATTTGCTAATGTTATCATTCTGAGATGTTCACTGTTACATATTTATTGTTCATAACACTCCTGGTGACAATAGCAGATATGGAGGTGGGTGGGTGGGGCAGGTGTTTGTTGTAGATCAGAGTCCCCTTAAGATGGGTAGAGTCTTCAGAGTGCCACCCCCGTGTAACTTGGGGACAACCTATAAACCATACTTTCTCTTCTGGCCAAGATATAGTTAAGAGATGGAGTTCTGTATTTGTCAAATAAGAACAAGTAACCCTCTAGAACTAACACAGAATGAGAGACGTAAGACAATGCTTGGCGAGGCACTGGACACAGGGCAGCGAGGACAGTCATGCCTAAGAGATGGGAAGCAGATGATCTGACCCTGTTGCTTCCCAGTAGGCATTCTCAGGCCACGGCATAGGAGGGGAAAGAGCCCTGCAGTCCACATGGAGTTGAAGTGGAGACTTACCTTTAAATACCCACAGCCATTCTATGGACAATCGTCTCCAACTGAAAACAACCCAAACATCCATCCAAAAAGTGGATGGATAACCAGGCTGAGGCATATCCAGCTGGTGCAGCGGTTTCTCAACCCGTGGGTCGCGACCCCTTTGGGAGAGGTGGGGGTCGACCAATCCTTTTACAGGGGTCGCCTGATTCATCACAGTAGCAAAATGACAGTGATGAAGTAGCAACGAAAATAATCTGATGGTTGGGGGTCACCGCCACACGAAGAACTGTTCGAAGGGTCGCGGCATGAGGAAGGTTGAGAACCACTGACGTAGTGGGCACCACAATCGAAAGGAATGGGCCGCGGGTTACCTGCGCAAGGGCTGGGGCAGTTCCACGCTGCGCCCGCGGTCCTCGCGCCGGAGTCACGGTTGGGCGCGGCCAGGACGCCTCCTCGGACCGCACCTGCAGCTGAACAAACTGCCGAAACCCACCGGCAGGGAGCCAGGGCCACCATGGACCACCAGAAATGGTGGTCCCAGCCCTTGATGATGGAGCCCAGGCCCCCGGGCATGAACTGCAAGCCCTGGTACAAAGACAGACTGCCTTCCAAGTACTTCGCCAGGGCCAAGGACAGGCCCACGTTCCCCACTTCCCTGTGCGGCCGGAGGTGGGTATTCCTGAAAGACGGGCTGGACGACTTCAGGTGGGGTTGCCCACCTTGCTCAGAGATGATCGCTCGGGGACCTAAGGAGGGCTTTCTCCCGATCATTTATCGCACAAAGGCTGGGCCTGCCCCCAAAAGTTGTGGGAAGAAGCTGCCCAAAAATGCACCCCAATTTTCCAAGCTCTCACCGGCCCAGCTAGCCCGGAAGGCCTTCGTGGAGGAAGTAGAAGCCCGTCTGAAGGAGCATCCCTTGGCTTTCCACTCGAATCTGGACGATGCGCTGCCTGTAGATCTCTTACGAAAGGTGCTGGAAATACTAGATCCCAGCAAGCAGCTGAAGGACACCTGGGCTTATTGTCAGGAAGGCAAGAAAAGACCAGAAGAACACAGAGAGCCTTTAAAAAGACGTTCAGCTAAAGTCGGCCCGTGCCCTCCCAAGCCGACTCCCATGCCGAAGCCAGAAGACTGGCTTAAAGAAATTAAGTCAGGCAATGAGGATTTGCCCAAAGTGTCTGTTACCGAGGATGAAAACGTAGCTAAAGGAGTTACTAATTTCTGCCACTGGGCTGCATCTATTGGATGTCCAGGGGTTGATGAAGGGTTTATTCTGAAACAATTTGAGTTAGACTTCAGCTGCAATCGCAAGTTCGGTCCGTCCCAAATAAAGAAAATCACTCAGGTGGATTCAGAAATTAAGTACACCCCGGGACGAAGTAAGTGTGCACAACCGAAATTCTCCACACGAGAATCAGACTTTGAGAAGAAAGTCCAACAACCATGTAGTCCTCCCCAGAAGAAGCATGTGAAGATGAAATATGGAGCATGGTACCTGCACCCTAAGCTGTGGAAAAAGCAACGAGAAGACGAACCTTTGCTGGACCCCAAGGCCCCACCTGCAATGGAAGACAGCTATTTTAAAAGGGTTGATCCGGAGCCAGACATTCTTGAAGAGCTGTATGCAATGATTGCCTTTAAGGATTTTATTCTAAGCAAGGGCTACAGCATGCCGAATTTAATTGAAAAGCTGTTTACTAGAAAGGGATGGACATACGAAGCTATTCAGATACCTGCAATATTAAGAACAAAATTCGAGTCAGATGGGGCTTCTTTAAAAAAGGATTAGAGAGTTTGGGAAATATTTATGACACGCCTGGTTATTTTTCTCAAACATCAAACAGACTGATGTGTGCTCCTCCATGAACGACAGCCTCTGCTGATGGACAGTTCTCATTGATCGTCTCCACAGGTTCATCAATGTTTCATCAACTAAGAGACCAGTATTCATACATATAGTCTCACAGTTTTGTAGTATTGTGAATATCACATAGGTTTATTAATTATTAAAATGAGAAATAAAAGAATTACTCTTAAAAAAGAGTCACATCGTTTTATTATTTATTAAAATGAGAAATAAAAGAATTGCTCTTAAAAAGAGTCCCCAGGGGGAGTGCAGATTGGGGACCAAAGCCCATCTGTAGGTAAGTGGATACCCCCTTACAGAAGGGTCACGGGGAGGAGACAAGCGAGTCAGGGTGCAGTGTAGCAATGATGACATATACAGCTTTCCTCTAGTTCCTGAATCCTTCTTCCCCACCCACTATCATGATCCCAATTCTACCTTACAAATCTGGCTAGACCAGAGGATGTCCACTGGTACAGATAGGAACTAGAAACACAGAGGATCCAGGACAGATGATCCCTTCGGAGCAGTGCTGAGAGTGGCAATACTGGGAGGGTAGAAGGAAGGTTGGGTAGAAAGAGGAAACCGATTAAAAGGATCTACATATAATCTCCTCCCTGGGGAGAAAACAGAATGCTGAGAGAAAAAAACATTGTTGAAGGAACAAAAATATTGCACACCCTCATGTATAACTAGACTGGTATGTATTACCATGTATATAAAATCTTAAAACACGCCCCCCCAAACACTATATATTATTTAAGGATTGATTGGTAGCAAAAAGGAGCCTTGGTGGTGGGGTAGTTAAGCTCTCAACTGCTAACAGAAAGGTCATTGGTTGGACCCACCAGTAGCTCCTTGGAGAACAAACCTGCTGATGTGCTTCCTTAAAGACGACGGGAACGGGTGGGGCAGTGCTCGCCTGTCTTTCAGGGCCACTGTGAGGGAGCGGACTTGATGGCACCTGCCGATAACAGTCAACGTATAAAATCCACGGGGAGATAAGCAGAACGTTCAAGCAATCATTTACTTCCGGAGGAGAGAGGAAAGACACTGGGTAGGAGAAGGAATACACAGAATGCTTAAAACATCAACATTTTATTTAAAATATTTTGTAAGGAAAATAAGGCAAAATGTTAAGGTTTGACAGAGCTGGCGAAAGATGCATGGGTGTTAGTTATACAATCCTCCCTAAATCTTTGAACTATTCCTCCATTTAGAAAAAATATAGCAGAGAATCGTGTGAAGTACAGTAGTTTTAAAAAGAGAAAACATTTATTTGTATAAACAACCTCAATGATGCCAACCTAAAAATCAATATTTCTTTTGGAGGGGGATGTGTGTGTTTTTTGTTTGTTTATTTCAATTTAGTGGGGTCTTTTTTAAATTTATCTTTCATTTCATAATCATAAACTTAATTCTGCTTTCCAGCTGGACTCAGGGGGCATAAGGAAAGCAGGAAACCCGAAGAACAGGAGTGCGAGCACACGATTAAACGATACTGCAAGCACATTGGGAACAGACGGGTGATTTCCAAGCTACCCAAGATAAAACATGGAAATCCAGATCAAATGTAATTAGAGTTGTCCACAATCAGCAAGGGGGAACTTCTTGCTGGTCTTGCCATTCCTGGAACCAAACGCTCCATGGCTTCCACAATGTTCATGCCTTCTTTCACCTGACCGAAGACCACGTGCTGGCCATCCAACCATCTGTCTGAGTGGGGCACCTAAACACTGGGGACCATTTGTACCGGGCCCAGCACGTGTCCTGGACAGGATGCCCAGCCCTGTGTGCTTCAGGATGAAGTTCTCATCCTCACATTTCTCTCCATGGATGGACTTGCCACCAGTGCCATGATGGCGTGTGAAGTCACCCCCGGCACATAAACCCCGGAATGATTCGGTGAGAGCAGGAAGCTTTATAACCAAAACCTTCCTCCCCAGTGCTCAGAGCACGGAGCTTTCTGCTGTCTTTGGAACTTTGTCTGCAAACAGCTCAAAAGAGACGCGGCCGAAGGGCTCGCCATCGACGGCTAAGTCGAAAAACACTGTCGGGTTGACCACGGCTGGACACAACAGGACCAGACAAGACTACAAAGTCAGGCGGCGTCTGCAAAGCGGCCTAGTTGGTTTTTTTATAGCAAATTTTACTGTGTTCATTTTACAAATTTCGACAAATGCATATATTTGTCACCAATTGCAATCTCTGTACACAACAGTTCCGAGTAACAAAATGGTTAAAATAGTCCCTCGTGCCATCCTTTGTACACAACCCTTCCTGCCGATATCCAGTCGCTGACTTCCACGGAGCTGTTTTCTGTCCTTGTAAGTAGGCATTTTCCAGAAAGCATACACAAGGAATCAAATCCTCTGTAGCCTTTTGGGTTTGGCTGCTTGCACTTAGCATCATGAATGCTTTCCTTAGTCACCCATGTGGTAGGACATCTCAGTTGTTGTTGTTGTTCGCGGACCCTGAGTCACTTCCAACTCACAGAGAGTTCCGTCTCATTGCTGAGCAGTATGTGGCATTACCACATTTTGTTTTTCCATTAATCAGTATTTTGGACAGTAGGATAAGATCTTGGTAATCTAGTACCACAATAACAGAAGTCGTACAAGTAGGTGGCTTTAACAAACGCATGATTTTTTTCTGGCTTAGGAGGCTAGAAATCCAGGGTTCGGAAGGCTTTCACTCTTGGTTGACCTGGAAGAAGGCCCTGTCTTTTCTGAGCGTCTGTGCCTAGCTCTGCTCGTCCTAGTCTCCTTTTTTTCCTCTCAAACTTTTTATTGTAGTTGGAGTGCAAATTTACAGGGCAAATTGGTTTCCCATTTAACAATTCATGCACATTTTCTTTTGTGATACTGATTGCAACCCCCATATTACAACTGTTCTTTTTCCACTTCCATCCATCCTTTTATCCCTGGCAAATGCTGCCCGTTTGATCATGTATGGCTGGTTGTTCTAAGGCAGTGATTCTCAACCTTCCTAATGCCATGACCCTTTAATACAGTTCCTCATGTGTGGTGACCTTACAACCATAAACTTGTTTTTGTTGCTACTTCATTACTATAATTTTGCTACTGTTATGAATCAAAATGTAAATAGCTGATGTGCAGGATGTATTTTCATTGTTACAAATTGAACATCATTAAAGGTTAAGTTCCCATGGCACAGATTGTTTTGTAGCAGTTGGTGATTTTACAGTACATGATTTTACATTTACCCAGTAATTACAGTTTATGAAGTGTCATTTTACCTCCAGTACTGCTGCTTTCAACACAGCAGCTGCTTTTAACAGAGTAGCTGCTTTCAACACAGCAGCTACACTGGTCCACCTAAGTACATTATGGCGCCAACCCTGTCACATACACCTGTATTTGTACCGGGTGTATGTGATGAGGCTGGTGCAATGATGTCATCACGCTGGGTACTCTTTCGTGGGTGTATCTGCATGTAGGCGGGCCCGCCTGGAGACAGATAGAGGAGCCGTGTCTTGGTTCCTAAGGCCATCAAAAATATGTGTTTTCTGATGGTCTTAGGCGACCCCTGTGAGGGAGTTGCTTGACCCCAAAAGGGGTCGTGACCCACAAGTTGAGAACCGCTGTCCTGAGGAGTGGTCTCTCCATGGTGTTTTTACCTTACAGGCTTGTCTATTGTTTGGCTGAAATTTGAGCCATGCTGGTGAGTCCAGTTTCAGGCCTGAAGGGTGGCAAAGGACCATGGTCTCACCATGACTCACTACTATTGAGTAAATTCTAAACCATAGTGACCCTAATAAGACAGTAACTCTTTACAGGAATAGAAAACCTCATCTTTCTCCTATAGAGCTGGCTGGTGGTTTTGAACTGCTAACCTCATGCTTAGTAGCCCAATATATAACTACTATGACACCAGGACTCCCCAGGAGTTCCACTGGTCTCTACCAAACCAGTGAGCCTGGTCTTCTTTTGCAATTTTGAGTTTTGTTCCACAATTTTCTCCCACTCTATCCAGAACCTCCAATTTGATCCCTTTCAGAACTGTCAGCAGGGGTAGCAGGGCATCAGCTAGTTCTTCTTGTCTCAGCGTCATGGAGGCTGGGATTCATGCGGTTCATTAACCCTGGGGAATAATGTTTCCTTGGGTCTTTGATTTTCTTCACACTTCTTTGCTTTAGATGGGAATGCCTAATATTTTTAAGACTCCGGTTTCTACTCACCAAACTAGGATATAGTACATTTTCTGGGAGGACTATATTACACCAATTGACCTTGTTGTCCCTTGAAACTGTCGCCCTGAGCCACAAGGCTCAGTGACTCATTCTTTCAAGGTGCTTGTTTGTGCCTAAGAAGTTGTCATAACTTTGCCCCACAATATGCAAAAGCTTGGACATAAATGTTTGTACTATATTTATTCACAATTGACAAAAACTGAAGACGGCTTGTCATGGATTGAATTGTATATGTTCTACACGTACACCTGGTTATATTTACAGTACATATAAACACATATGTAGGTGTATCCTCTGTCAAACCTATATACATTCATGGGTGTAGATCCCTTCACCTTCCCATTCCTTTTCATCTTGAATATTTATCTATATGTCCATTTGTAAATCATCGTTATTCCTGCTACTCCAGGATTGGGTAATTACCTTTTTTGCTTTTTTTAACTCTTGTGTCCTTTTGCCATTATCATTTTTTTTGCTGATCTTCTCCTCATTGTACATTTTATATTCCCTTTACCCAAGTTAATAAGTGTCTACTCTCAGAAAGAGATTCATATCTGTGCCCATACCAAAAAAAGGTGACCCAAAAGAATGTTCAAACTGTAGAATGATATGGATATTGTACACAAGTAAAATTTGCGGAAGATCATGCAACAAAGGTTGCAACAGTACAATAAGAGGGAACTACCTGCGGCTCAGGATGGATTCAGAAGAGGGCATGAATGGCCACTGG